TTTAACCCTATTAGTAAACAGGCTCTTATAGGCTTCATTTGCAAACTACCCTATCAAAATTTTATTTTCTTTATTTCTTATCTGTATAGTTGAGTCTATACATTCTAGTGGTTCAAGTTCAAATGTTTGGCTTAAGTCCGAATCATTTTGAGTGAGTCCAAGTTGTGTTAGAGAGACTATAACATGGTGGTGGTTCGGTGGATTTTTTGGTTTGAAGTGTTACTATCAATGAAGAATTTTTTGGTTTGAAGTGTTACTATCAATGAAGAAAAGATCATTATATCTTGAAAGCCGTACAGCTCCTTGTAAGACATAATTTGTCCTAAGGACATAGAATTTAATATTTATTTTATAATTCTAGTTTTGCATGTTGGTATAATTCTTGTCGGATGTGAAATAGTAACATATAAGAATATTATTTTCTCGCCGATAATAGTGATATTTTCCAAATTAAATTCAAAGGTGGTGTTTGTTATTATGTTCTTTTAAGACCATTTGTGGGTGTGACCGACACTAAGTGATGCACTTTTTTTTTGATAGTTAGCACATAGCTTTGAGCACAGCTTTGAGCAGAGTCACATACAAGTATATATACTTTAAACAGTTCGGATTCGGATTGATCATTCAATCTGAATTCGATAAGGCTTGATCTAATTCGAGTAGATTTGAATTTGAAGAATATTTTGATTCAATAGTCTAATTCGATAAGGATATAGTTTGCATTTTTTTTTTTTAAAAGAAATTAATGTCAAAAAGAATGACAAGCAATGATTATAATAAGAGAAATGATAGGTTTTTCGATTACAATTGACGATTCATCCTTCAAATATAATGTGGTTGGATGACATTGGAACTCTTAAAATAAAATCCCGTGAACATCTCTTTCTTTTCGACTCATTCCCAACCACGTTGTAATCGGAGAATGAGTCGTCAATTGTGGTCGAAAGACATATCACTTCTCTTATAATAAATATGATAGAAAGTCAAAGATAAATAAAATATGGAAGAAGAAGTAAAAAGATAATACGGAGAAGCTCATTTACTCTTTTGATAAAGAATAAAAAGTAGGAGGAGGAAAAAATAGAGAGGGAAGAAGAAAAGGAGAAAATAATGATAAAATGTAAATTTTATGTATATTGTAAATTTGACATATTATAATATATTTATGAAGGATCGGATTATTATTGGATTGAAGTTACTCTATTTGATTTGAATCGCTAACGGTTTATCGGATTAAATCATCAATTCATATTCGAATTATCAGATCAGATTCAGAACGATCCATCGGATTAAATTATCAATCCATAACTAACAGGCCAGTGATCTAGCAGTATCAAGCTCTTACTTTCTAAAGTGAGGTTAATGGTTCAAATCTCGATGAAGGCATCTGTGTGCAATTACCAACTAAAAAAAAAAAATTATCAATCCATATTCGAATTATCAGATCAGATTCAGAACAATCTATCATATTAAATTATCAATCCATATCGGAGTTAACGAATCAAATTAGGATCAGATTTCAGATTAAAAACTTATCTGATCACTAATATTTAAAGTTTAAAAAGTTATGAATGTATGTAAACTGCCGCATGTTAATGTATTGATAATTCAATTTGTGATAATTTAAAGAACTTTCAAGTTAGAGGATTCTCATCAATCAAATACAGATTGATCTGAAATATTATACAAATCTAATATAGAATCTATGAGTACATAAGATATGTATTGAATAAATATTTTTTTTAATGGAACTTCAAATGTAGAAGTCAAATGAATCTAATAGGAAGGGGTAATACAAGAAAATATACAATCAACTAACATTTGTCAAATTTTGAAAAAGAGACCAGAGAAATGACTTGATTTCCTTTTGGGGAACCCTTCAGTAATGGTTGAAAAAACAATCACTCCACATCCCATAACTGTCACTAACACTAATCTATCCTTTTTATTTAATATATTTTTCTAATTAATTAGCTTAGTTGTTCTTACAAAACTAAAATTGAGGGATTCAATCATTTCAATCAATATTTATCCCCCCTTATAGACTCATTCACTATTGAGCATAGGGCTATAAACGAATCGAATCGAGTCGAGTAATGGGATATTCGAGCTTAGCTTGGTCAGGCAATAGGGTTGTTCAAGCTCGGCTTAAGTTCAAATCCAACCCACAAAATTAATTCTGAGCTCAACTTACCTATGTTGACAAGGCTAGAGCTCGGCTCGATAGTTTGTTTACCTCATTTATTTGTTTTATTTTTTTCTTATTACTTTGCATCTAATAGATCTGGAACAAAAGAGATGTTTGAGAGGCAAATAAATTTTCAGCAGTAAAAAGAGCAAAGTTTGAAAGAGAGAGAGATAAAAAATGATAAATTTGGTTGGAAATTAACGTATTAGAGTTGATTCAATTTCCATGGAAGATGTTGCACAAGGAATGGGGGTTATCTTGAATCCACAAATATAGGGTACCTTGAATTCACAAAGTTTGAATAAAAATTACAAAGCAATTAAAATATTATTGATAAAATTGAATGATGCAGTACATGTTTTTATAATAAAATAAAATTCTAAAACTTTAAAGGAAATTAATTCCTATAGGAAAATAGAAATACAAGGGAAAAAAAAATTAAAAATATAAAATAAAAATAAATAAATAAACTTAATTTTAAAAAATATTAAAATCTGTCACACATCAGTCTCCTCTATTTTAAAAAAATCTCCCCTCGAGTTTAATTATATATGAGTATGAACAAAATTTTATATTACTGGGGACTTAATCTTGAGACTTGGTAAAATTGTTGAGTCATGGTAGCAAAAAATATTCAAATTTGAAAAATAACATGGTCTATACATGAGCATCCCAATTTATGGGCATAGAATTTCCACCTTTTTAACATCCACACAACAACTGCCCCACTCCATTGAAGTCAATTGTTTTGTAGTAGCTCCCGTGAGTGAATATTTACTTGGCAACGAAGCTTCTTTCATGGGATTACACCGAAGCAGCACCTTTCATCTCCGTTGGCTCAGATAACCACTTAATCATCAACTAACCCACCTTTCAAATCTTGCTCTTCTGTTGCCATATTAAAGTCTTTTCCATCATCTCTTTTTTCGCATTGAATTCCTTAATTGCATCAACTTCAACTACAAGAGGTGGGACAACAAAATTTGTTCACAATCAATCTCTACGTGAGAATCATTGATTGCTCCAATAAAATTACCATCATCCTTGATGTGGTCATTGACACTGGTATACTTCGCATGGGCCGGAAGCTCACGTGAAGGTACAGGAATGTTAATCATGTTTGGTTGGCCGTGTGAAACACTATCAGCGTGAACTCAAATTGGTTTACAATCCTGTTTGTCAATAATCCCAAGTTCAATGAATCTTTGTTGAATTTGCAATGTCATAGGCTCCATCCGATCCAACTGTTGTCCTTGAGTCTTCGTAGCTGCCCAAAAGGGCTTGCACTCCCTGATCATTGTCGTGAGGGCGGTTGTTACCAAAACGACCAACCACCATCAGATCAGGGTACGACGAGGCTATGATACCAACTGAGTAAGGATTAGATGTTCACATGAAATGGGGGTTATCTTGAATCTACAAGATAGGGTACCTTAAATTCATAAGGTGGTAACTTTGAATCCTCAAAGTTGAATAAAAATTGCAAAGTAATTAAATTATTATTGATAAAATTGAATGATTGATTTTATATCTCTATTATTGCATTACATGTTTTTATAATAAAATAAAATTCTAAAACTTTAAAAATTCTTATAGGAAAATAAAAATACAAGTAAACAAAACTAAAAATATAAAGAAATTATCTAAAATTAAAAACTCTCTAAAAATATAAAATAAAAATAAATAAATAAACCTAATTAAAAAAAAAAAAAAAAACTAAAATCTGTTCTACATCAACAACTATCAACAATAAGCTCCAAAATCTATAAACAATAAGCCCCAAAAATCAATTTGAATGAAATCCAATTGAACGAAGGAAACAAATGAATTTTTGGGAGAGAGATGTCATCGGAAAAAATGGCCATCGCTGGCCATTGAAATAGAAATGCTAGGGCTAGATAGATAGATGTACACATATATAATATGTGTGTAAGGAAAGGCAAGAATAAAAATCAGAAGATTGAAATGCTAGGGTTACATAGATATATGTACATATATGTAATATATGACGGGTGTTGCCAGGAAAAACAAAAACAAAATAATATATATGATGGGCTTGGTCATCTTGGGCTTCACTTAAATGGGGTTCTGTTTTGTAATACAAAGAAAATTGTTTGGGTTGGGTTGGGTTTCATAACAGATTTTGTTTTGTAAATGGAACAAAATATATACACACATGTATATATAATACATTTTATAATATATATATATATATATGTATACATACACATGTATATATAATACATTTTCACAGGCCTTAATCGAGCTTTGTTAACGATTGTGTTCACGGACAAGCGAGTCAGGTAGTGATATGTTTGAGCTTAACTTATTTATTAATCGATTTAAAAAAATCTGTTTGAATTTAATTTATTTATTAAACAAACTAATATGAACTGAATTTTTAGCTCAAACTGTTTGTAAAAAATTTGATTCATTTACTGTCCTGATTCGACACTAGTCCGAAAATAGGAGAATATGTCACTTGAGTCGGCACATCCATAAATGTAATTTTTTTTTTTTTCTCTTTTTAAAATTGTTTACTTTTTAAAAGTATTTATCATTTTGTAAATTGAATAGGACAACACTTGTCCCAAACTACCACACAAAGGGTAGGCCAAGAAGACAAGAGTCAAAGTGGCTTTTCAGATTACAGAACAGGCAAGCGTGAAGACAGAGACACCCGTCCTAATGTAACATACGGTACATTTGCTCGCTGATTGCAAAGAGAGAGCTTGACCGATAACTAGTAGGGCCCAAATGCAACTTGTCTAATGATGGCCTTTCGAACTCTCCAAAGAGCCCACCCCCTCCAACCTTTAACAGAAAATTCTCAACTTCTCATTTCTCTGTGTCTATATATGCACACATATAGACAGAGAAGTGATAGAATTTAAGAGATGGGCATGCAAGCCCATACATGTTATCACCATCATCAGTTTATGAAACCACTAGCATTACCATTACCATCATCATCATCGTCATCAATTTCAGTACGGTCAAATTGTTACAGTGACTTCAATGGCGGGAAGAGGGAAATTGATCAGAAGAAAGCCTTTGGAGTACTAGTTGAGAGATGTACTGGGTTCTGCTGTAGTGTTGATTTGAGGGTGAGAAGAAGAAAAAAAGAAATTGGTATTGTTGCATCATCATCCACCAATGTGGCTGATGGTTGGAAACCCCAGAAGGGCTCTAAAGCTCCTCTCCTCAGCGACGTCGTTTGGCCTTCCGCAGGTAACTCAATGTCATTGGAGAGAGAGCTAGGAACGTCTAATTTTGATATATGTTGGGCTTAATTGCACAAAATCTCTTCAATTATAAGGAAATTAGGAGAAAACTATTTGTAAATTAATATTTGGCAGCGTTGAACCCACGGCTCAGAATTTATATATATATATATTCTAAACCGACGATTCAATACTCCCAATGCAATATATAAGATTTGATGTATGTTTGATAAAGTTGTGATTTGGAAAACAGGGGCATTTGCGGCAATGGCGATATTGGGAAAGATGGACCAGATGTTGGCAACGAAAGGCCTCTCAATGACAATAGCACCTGTAGGAGCTGTTTGCGCTGTCCTATTTGCTACTTCCTCCGCCCCTGCTGCTCGGGTACCTACTGTCTCTCTCCTTTCTTGTGTCTATATATTTATATACAGGTATATATATATATATTCTTAGTTAAATATATATATATATATAAATATATATATATATATATTTATTTTAACTGTATATATATATATTTATATACAGTTAAAATTTGGTATTTAATACTGTAAAATTTGCAGCAAGGTCATTTTGGGGGCAAAACTGAAATAATGCATTTACTTTATGCCACAAAGTGGTTTGAGTTAAGACAATAAAGGGCTAGTCCCATAGGCAATCACCAATGCAAGATTTAGAAATGGTTAAATGTATCTATGGATGTTTCGAATTTAAATCCGCAACTTCCGGTCACATTTCCTGGTTCCTGCATTTGGTGAATTTCATTGCTGTAACGGTAAAATCAATAATGTGAAATTGTTACCGGAGAGGATTTGGTCCATCACAATACTAGCCATTTGAACTGGATTCAAATTCAATGGTGAATTTTATACATTGTGATTTTATCGGAATACCCCCGGTTTCAATGTAGAAGCAGAGACTGTTAAAATAAAAATGAAAAACGTCGTACTGTTTATAAAGGTAGGGTTACTGGATATATAAAGGCATTGTAAGCTATTTGACTACAATTGAAGGATGTTGTTGAGGAATAATCTCTCTCTTCCTCTTTATTTATTTATTTATTTTTTTTTTTTTAAAGGTAATTTGAAGGGATTACATACATTAATAATGTGGAATTGCATTGACAAATAAGCAATAGTATAAGATTACTATTAAAGCAGTCATTTGCCCAAAGAAAGAAAAAATTAGTGAAGAAATTCTTTGTCCATCCACTATGATGATGATGTGCACAATACTTAGACCAAAAGCATACATAGTTGGTATGCTGAGTGGATTCCTTGCAAACTGAATGTTGATTGTACTGGGCAACAGTGAAGTGGCTTATAACTTTATAATTATCCCAAAATTTATTTATGTTATGCTTACGAGCGTAAACCTTTTCTTGACTGGCCATTGCGGCTCAATTTTGGTTATTTATTGATGATTGCCGCTTTTACATGGAAGCTGTTTCATGTTCTTCCAATTGCTTAATAAGTTGCCTTTTCCCCTATTTATGTGAATCACATTGTGGCTCTGGAGAGAAGAGAAAGACTGGACGATGAGCTTTTGCGAGAATTGGTTTAAAGAAGGATAGGCTTATGGTCCATTAAAATATTCAAAGTTCTATAAATCTGACTAAAGAACTCATGTCATGCTAGGTTGAAGCACAGAATCATAAAATCCTTCATGGTGTCTTGGTGGTGAAAACTTAAGACGATTGTCACACTTTGTAATTTTAGTCCATTTTATATAATGACCAACACCACTAGAGAAACAAGCAAAGGCCTTATAGGCACTTGGTGATGATTAAATCAGATTGTTTTAGTTTTAGTTTGTGTTTTTGATGATTGAAACAGATTTTATGTCAGCAACAGGAAGGAGACATCTTGTAGTAACAAGTTTAGCAACCTCAGAAAATTTCCCGCGATAATCAAGATGCTCAGTTTATCTTAATTCTTTGGTGACCAGACAGGCAGGATGGAAAGAGGTGAAGTGCCATTATGCTCATGGGCAGCAATTTCAGTTTCCATAAAAACTCTTAAATATGGTACTCCTAAAACAAGAGAAAATGATATTTGGCGAAGTGTAGAATCATTGACAAGAAGGAATGATTTTTGAGATGAAAGCTTACTATCTGATCGAAATTGATTAAGAGGGTATATTGTACTTCAGAAGTAGGAGAACACAAGGCAGTAGGTGCATGAGTCGCAAAGGAACAGTAACAGTTCTGAAAATGAAAAAATGGTAGACAATGATGAGATCAAGTTGCCCAATTCAGAGTTGAATTAGTTAATCAAAGGAGATGATGGCTTAGTAAGAATGGCATTGGTGTTGTGTCAGGTGCTATTAGGTATGAGATAGGGGAAGAAGCCGGTTCAGTTTGCTAGGGAGAAGTCAGGATTGGGATTAATGAGATGAAAAAATGAGGCATTTAGCAATTGTAAGTTCGGGTTGGTGGGGAAGAGTTTTATATCAACACAGGAAAGTGGACTCCTGGAAAAAGATGCTCCAACGGTGGTAAACCGTCATAAGTATCAAGTTGGATATTGGATTTGTATTTATATACAGGCATTTGAAAACCATTATAGCAGTTTAATTTGTCAGGTTTAGCATTTAATAGAACTTAGGGTGGATTTTTCTCAAAGAGAATGGGAGTGGAAATTTGTAATAAAAAAAAGATGCAGTGAGTGAGAAGATACTCACAGCCCAAATGAGAGGTAAGTTGGCCTGTGTTGTACAGTATTGTATGAGTTATCATGTTGTACCGTATTGTATGAGTTGTCATGTTGTATGTTGTACAGTATTGTATGAGTTGTCACATGTGTACAGTTAGTATTGTATAAGTTTTCACCTACCCTTCATTGCCATATATAGAATTACCATGTATAGGGTTTACTCGTTCTCCACTCATCTACTCTCGTAGCTTCTCCTATATAAACACCATTGTATTATTATATTACTCACTCAATAAGATATACATTTTCATATATTCTCTTTCTCTCTCTCTCTCTCTCTCTCTCAACATGGTACCACAGCGAAAATCGATCCCTCTTTTATTTTATTTTTTTTTAGTCTTATTCAGACTGCGATCTTGATTCCCTCTCGGTTTTCTCTCAGCAATCGCTTCTCAGCTATCTCTGCTTGGTGATCTCAGTTCTCGTCTCAACAATCTCTCTCGGATCCCTCCTCGGCATTCTCTCAGCAATCTCTTCTCGACGATCACTCCTCGGTGATCTCAGTTCTCGTCTCGGCAATCTCTCTCAGCTCCCTCCTCGGCTTTCTCCTCGATAATTTATCTTGGGTTCATCTCGGCTAAATCTCGGTTCCCTCTCGCTACTATATCTCATTTGTTCGGCAGCTCTTGTGATGGATACTAAGGAATCTCATCTACTTGGGTCAATCACCAACACCAAACTGAAGGGCTCAAACTACCTTTAATGGTCTCGAGCCGTAAAGGTGTTCTTACGGGCTCGAGGAAAACTGTAATATCTTAAAATCAACCAAACGCAGGTTGATAATTCTATATATGGTAATGAGGGGTAGGTGACAACTCATATAATACTAACTGTACACGTGTGACAACTCATACAATATTGTATAACAGCCTTTAAGGTTAGAAAGATGTGTAGGCCATTTTGCATTCTAGCAAGTCCAGTCCTTTTCTTCATGGATTGGTCTTGAATGAAGGAAATGTCAGAAAGAGAAAAAGAAATGACAAAACACTTGAAAATCGATGATCTATGAATGAGGCAAGATACAGAAGAACTTTAGATCTGAGATTGGCCATAAAATTGGAGGTCCCAAGAGAACAATGCTAGAGGTTGTTGAAGTTACTGCTCATTGAATTAGAGCTAACCTTTTTCTTGATTCAGAGAGTTACCATATTTCTTATAGCGATTTTCTTTGGTACAGGCACTGTGACTACAAAAGATATAATGAGGATGAGGGCAAAGCTGATGGTGAGGGTCAAGTCATCCGCAAAGTTGGAATAAATATTAAAAACGAATTGATATAAATATTAAAAACCTTGGTACCACTTTATACAAAACGATCAATTCAGTTTTACTTTACCAATTGATGAAGTAATTGAATTAACTCTATAAAAACAAACTAACTAACTAACTAGGAAAAAAATAATAATAATAAACAAACTTACAAGCTTGATGGATTTTATAGTATGTAATTCAACGTTCAAAACATTCAATCATACATGATAAAATAAACAGACCCATCATCATGAATAAATAAAGTAATATAAAGTGCCATGAGTAAGGTTAAAATGCACACCATATTTTACGTGGAAAAACCTACCCAACTGGTAAATCAAAAAATAATGGAGGATTTAGTCCAACAAATTAATCCACTACTAAGAAAGAGATGCAACCCTTGATCTGTTCAATACACATGAACTCTATTCTATCTTGATTCATAGGCTCACTTTCCATATAAGTGAATAAGGAAATTACTTAACGACTAAGAATTCCAAAACTGCCTTTTTTGTCTCTATCGATCGACACTTGTAGAGAGGTCTATTGATGAAGGTATAACGGCATATCTATTGAACCCTACTAGAGCAATATTGGTTGATGCTACATTTAAATGTTGATCGATCGAAGCTACCTCTGTTGTAGATTAACAATAAAAGCACAATATGTTGGAGATAAGGCATCATAGGATACAAACCAAGATATGGGATGTTTTATACAACTATGAACACTCTTACTTTAGGCAGTAGGGACATCAAGATCAACATGAATGCTATTGGGAAAATAATAAGGAGTATCAATATCATCTAAGGAATTGCCTGGATCGAGGGAGGCTTCCTGGTCCTAGGGTGATTCAATGACTTGTTTTGCCCTCCTAGGGTAGACAATTGGCTGCTTTCCTACTACAAATCATTAGTGTCAGGAGGACTAGACATAGGCACCTCAGTCAGAAACTCCCCCTTGAATAGGAACATGCAAAGAAAGGGGGCATTCTCCATGAATGGACAACGGATTCTCTACCTGTATAGGAGTCTCTCCTTATGGAGAATCCCAAGCAGTGGAAAAAAAAAAAAAAAAAAAAAAAAGGAACAGACTCAAAGAATATAACATCCATGGAGACAAAACGATGACGACTGGTAGGGTTATAACACCGATACCCTTTCTAAGTGGCAAAGTATCCAAGAAAGACACATTGGATTGCCTTAGGGTCCATTTTGTCCTTTCGATGATGAGTGTGAACATAACCAACACAACCAAACACTTTCGAAGGAACAGTAAACAAGGCAGTGTCATCGTGTAAGACAGAGAAAAGGGATTGATAGCCAAGAACCTTAGAAGGCATGCGATTGATAAGGTATGTAGTTGTTAAGGTTGCATCAACCCAATAACTTTTAGGCACTCCCACCCCATTTAGAAGAGAACAGGTCACCTTCATAATATGACGATGTTTTCTTTCAGCTACACCGTTCTGCTGTGGTGTATCGACATAAGAGGTTTGATGGACAATCCCATTATCAGCAAAAAAGGAGGCAAGACCATCATACATAAACTCACCTCCATTATCAAATCGAAGGATTTTGAGGGAACAACCAAACTGAGTACATATCATCCTATGAAAGGTTTTAAAAAAGGAATGAAATTCATCTTTGGTTTTCATAAGATACAGCCAAGTATATCGACTAAAGTCATCATGTTTGTAGGTTTCTTTTCTTTCTTTAGTATTACCAGTTGCTAGTCATGTATTTTGCAGTTGAAAGGCATTTCATCGAATTCTTTTGTCCATTCTACTTTTGGAACTTGTTGCAAATAATAAAATATAAGTGAAGAGAGAAATGGAACAAGAAGAACACAAAGATATTACGTGATTCTGCCACTAGGGCCTACATTCACTGTACAAAGAGCCCAAAGGGCTACATCAATTTTATAATATTCTTTCTTAATCGTTGTATACATTGATCACCTCTATATACATGTGAAGGAATACAAACATGTGATTAATATGATATTGAAAATATTTCTAAAATCACTCTCATGATTCACTCATATCAATATTCTGTCAAGAAGTAATTTAAGGACTTAATTCACTCCGATAATGATATTCTCCAAAAACAACACCTTCCAACACTCCCTCTCAAGCTGGAGCATGTATGAAAATAATGCTCAGCTTGCATATCAAATCATAAAACGGATTTTTTCCCAATGATTTGGAAAAAGACAACAAAACTGTTGAAGACACGATGAAGGCAAAAAACAATGCTACCGAACACACCGGCATCCCAAATAAGTAATAAATAGCATCAAGAGACCCTTAGCACGTTTCGGACACTAAGGGAATATGGAAAAATATGGGTCCAAACCTAGGAAGAGATCCTCCCTACATAGTCGCACACACCAGGAGAGTACTCTAGTGTTTTTCTGTACCTAGGCAGTTGCGACAATAAAGAAGAGATAAACTAGGCTCTGATACCATGTTTTAAATAATAAAATATAAGTAAAGAAAGAAATGAAACAAGAAGACACAAAGATATTACGTGGTTCACGGCGAAGGCGAAGAACAATGCTACTGAACACATTGACAGCCTAAACAAGTCACAAATATCACCGAGAGACCTTTAGCACATTTCAGCGACACCAAGGGAATATTCCAAAATAAGGTTCAGAACCTAGGAAGAAATCCTCCCTACACTGTCGCACACACCAAGAGACTACCTTAGGGTTTTTATGTATCTAGATAGTCGTAGCGAGAGAGAAGAGAGAAACTAGGCTTTGATACAATATTGTAAATAATACAATATAAGTAAAAAGAGAAATGAAACAAAAAGAGCACAAATATATTACGTAGTTCACAACGAAGGCAAAGAATAACGCTTTCAAACATACCGGCAGCTCAAACAAGTCACAAATAGCACCGAGAAACCCTTGCACATTTTTGACACTAAGGGAATTTACCCCAAAATAGGGGTCTGAACCTATGAAGATATCGTCCCTACAATGTCGCACACACGAAGAGACTACCCTAGGTCTATACACAGTCGTAGCAATAGAGAAGAGCGAAAGTAGGCTCTAATACCATGTTGTAAACAATAAAATATAAGTGAAGAGAGAAATGAATCAAGAAGAACACAAAGATATTACGTGGGTTTATATCCACGACACAAAGAAGCCAGAGGGCTACATCACTTTTATAATATTCTCTCTTAATCTTTATATACAACAATCACATCTATTTATAGGTGAAAGAATACAAACATAGGATTAATATGATACAGGAAAGATTCCTAAAATCACTCCCATGATTCACTCCTATATTCATATTCTCAAAAATAAAATCTTCCAACACAACTGGCTAATGAATAACAATACCTTTACATTCAAAATTGCTTAACTCTGAATTCTTGGCAGTTGCAGAACAAAATGAAATTCAAATGCTCTTTAAAATATTTTTAACTAAACAATATTCTCTATATCCTCTATGAGCAAAATTTGCAGTCCATTGTAGATCTCTGGTGAGTATACACTGTTTGAAAGATTCTTGTCTACAACTAAGTTAAGGAAGAAAAACACTGTAGTCCAACCATTTCAAAAGCAGGCATTTAAAATTGTTCATTTTCACATTGTAAATTACCAAGGGCTATAGTCTAGTGGTATTTCCTCGCCTTCCAAAGTAAAAGGTCTGATGGTCCAAGTCCCCCATGGGGACAAAACGGGTGTGTGAGTGTGTTTCTTGCCTAGTAAAAAAAAAAATATATATATGTGAAGTTCTCAAAACAACACAAAAAATAACGTGTTTTCGACCACCTAAAAACAAACACAGGTTTTCTCAACAAGCTCTAGGGTATTGGTTCATTTTTATATTTTTGCTTGTTTATGCCAAGATCTGCACTACTACTTTGCAGAAGTACAACATGTTTATGGCTCAAATCGGATGTGCAGCAATTGGTGTTTTGGCATTATCAATTTTTGGACCAGGTTGGCTTGCTCGAAGCACTGGCCTTGCTGCAGCCATAGCTTTCATGATTTGCACACATTCCATACATCCACCAGGTAATAGCTTTTGCTGCATAGTTCTGACATTATGGATTTCATATTTGAAGTACTAAAATGCAGATTGTAATATCATTGTGCAGCTGCAAGTTTGGTATTGCTTTTCATCGATGGAGCAAAGTGTCACCACTTGAATTTTTGGTATGCATTGTTCCCTGGTGCCACTGGATGCATTCTCCTCTCTTTGATTGTAAGTTTCGCCCCCTCTCTGGTCCTTGTATTCTCGATTTAATGGCCAACATTAATTAGGAAAAGCAGAGCAAATTTAAAAATGTCGTAACCACCATCCACCATTCCAACCTTGTTCCAAGATTTGAACTTTCATTTCTTTTCCTATGAATTCTCAGCAACCAAATGGAGTGTGATGTTCTTTTCTCTGATGTATGTGGAAGTAACTTAAAGAATGAATGAGATATATGTTGCAAATTTTATAAATAGTACTCTAAATTAAAATCATACTGAACATTATTAGATTCTTCTAAGTTATGTACCATTTGATCATCCTTGGAAATTTCATGGCATTTCCCTCAACAAGCATATAACAGTTAATTTCCAGGATAAATAAAACTGGTCTAATACAGAGAGAATTTTCATTCCTCTTTTATTTATTTAAAAAAAATTTTTATTGAATTTTTTTTTTTTTAATCTTTAATTGTTGCAGCAAGAGGTGGTCTGTTATTTGAAGGACAATTTCAAATTTTGACATGTTACAAATGCATATAAAGCCCTATTAAGCATTGTTCAGTCTTTCATGCACAAAGGGAACATCCACTAGAATGCGATGGAGCAACTACCCGGTGTAAAAGTGACTAATCTCAACAAGACAGTGAAATCCTAATCACGAATATAGTTGTACTGAAGGAGGTTCTACACCGATGAATGTGAAATTGTATTGTCATCCACAAGAGCAATGCTGACCATGGGAGAGTAATCGCTCTCTAGAAGTTGGAGCAGTATAGAAAATGATTTTTTTTCCTGCAGATGTGTGGTTTGTATTGCATTCAAGTTTCATTGCCATACATGAACATCCAAAATGTATATTCTTTCTTGTCAAATCTATTCATCATGTCAGATGTTAAGCCAAGTTAGGCTATTGGCAATACAGTTTCTGTTCTATTTGTTGTTACATACGGTGTGAATAGAGAAGTTTATACACACACACACACACACACTTCAGTTATGTATGCAACTCTCACACTTGCAAATTGTAATTGTGAGACAATTGGCATGAAATTAATGTACTTGCTAAGCATTACATCAAGATTACCCCTGTAATGCATCAAAACATGAAATGTCTTCCTTGTGTGCATTTTGAATTATCCAAACAAACTAGGAAGAAAAAATTACCCAAACAACACCTATACATAGGGTTGCTCAATGTGGATCAATTTGGTATCTTATTACTTTTCTTTTTTCTTTTCTTTTCTTTATCTTTTTCATATTTAATTAATTAGCTTTTCTAGTGGACTGTCTTTTTCGAAATCCAGATTGCAAGTCTTAAAGCAGTAACACCTTAGAAAACTCTTTTTCATTTTTGTGGGGTTTGCTTTGGTATTCACTATTCACTTCACAAAAAATGGGCCAGTGGTTGCATATCCAAGTACCAACTTGTGTATCATTGAAAAGTAATCACAAATTCAATGGACCATACAACCACAATGCACTTTGATACTGACAAAGTCCATTCCCTTCTCAGGGATAGCTAAATATATATATATATATATATATATATATATATATATATGTTGTGTGTGTTTGATCTCTTGTTGTGTTTTCTAAAATCTTTTTACCCACCTGACCCATTAATTTTTATTACACACAAGCCAATAATTTATAAAAATGTGAAAAATGTCCCTGAAGTAATTATTTACCCGTGGGCCAATTTTATTTTATTTTATTTTAGTTATTTTTTCTTTGTTTTTGTTGTTGTTGTTACACATAGGCCTATAATTTATAAAATTTTACAAAATGCCCCACAAGATAATTATTTTCTAAAAATCTCTTTAATTTTTTCTTTCTTTTCATTCTTACTCTTCTTCTAATTTTTTTTATATTATGTTGAAAAAAAAAAAATGTTGCAAAATAAATTTGTTGCCAAAAGGACCCTTAATGTCATTATTTTACGTTCCATTTTTTTTTTCTTTAGCAATTATTTTATGAATTAGTAAATGTTATTATTCCACCATCACTACACTTCAATTTTTCGGCTTATTGTCTTGCTGCACCATTAGCTTGAAGAAAAAAAAATATATCCTCTTTAATACGGCAGGCCCCCGAGAACGATATCCTGGCAACACATACATACATATATATATACATACATACTGGGTCGGAGCCAAGAATTTGGTTTGGGGGCGCATGTTAACACTGACGAAATAATTTTTTTTCAAACAGGCCAAATATATAATAGTGTAACAACAATACATTATAATAAGTGAATAAAAAATGAATAAGAAGAGAAAAAAGAAAATGAAAATGAAGGTTATTGCGCATAAATTATGAATGAGTGTAAGAAAAAAGAAATTTTTAAGAAGAAAAAAAAATAAAAATAAAAAAAATATGAGAGAATTTTGAAAGAAAAATAGGTTTTAATTGTAGAAATAAAATCCAAAAATTTTTGTAATTTACAAAAAGAAATTTGAAGAATAAGAAGGAAAATAAATAAAGAATTAAATACGTTTTTAGAAATAGATAATTTTATGGGAGATAATTTATAAATTTTATGGGGGTGTTTTATAAATATTTACAAATTATATGCATAAAATAAAATAAAATTTAGTGGATTTAGGGGTAGATGAGCCATTTTATTAATTTTAGGAAGGCATTTTATCAATTTTTTCAAATTTATGTATAAAAAATCTAGTTGGGGCAGCATGGGTGGGGGACAGCTGAAATCACTAAAAGGCCCTCTGATTTTGAGGTCGACTTCATGATAGTCTAATTCATGTAAAGACCGGAGTTACTCAAATTCAAGCTCTCATTTTTCGAATATTCTCAAGTTGATTGGCTCAAGCCCTTCAAGTGACGAGAAAAGAGCTAAAATGGAGGAAGAAACTTACAAATACATGACCATTGGATCAATAGTCAGGATACTATGATATCTACTACTTAAAAAAAGGTGAGAGTTTGAATCTCTCCAGACCTATTGTGAGTGCGTACATACTTCAACTTTAGAGAATACAAAATAATAATAATAATAATAATTATTATTATTATTATTATTGTATGAATGATGAAACGTTTGGCATTGGACAAGTGATCATAATTTGTTCCATTGACTTCATTTGATTTAACATCCACCAACATGTTGGAACGGCCCAAAAGATTGCGATGGTGACTTAGGTTTCTGTCAATTCTTTTCTTGTCACCATTAAAAGTGTACTAGGTTCAATCAAGCTCGTGTGAAGCCAATATAAAAAATCAATACAACGAAAAGCAAATCCCTTAAAAGAACATTTCACCAACCAAAAGTTCTGTTATTGGCATTTCAATTTAATGGACTATATGCACTACATTTTAAATTCCGTAATTTTTGTATAGATATAATAAAACATGATTGAGATCCAAAACGTACTGGCTAGTTGCATCTAAACATGAAGGATAGAGAGCTTCACTCTAGGCTGTAGAGATATGGTCCATGGTCTAATACCAGCCATTCACTTCTATGTGGTACTTATGGTACCCGTTTCATTTAATTAATTAACTCACAATTCACTCGATCAGATAAGGTCCTAAATGTAAGGATAAAAACCCTCTCCTGTCATACAGTAACCGATTCCAATTGGTGCATCATCTATGATCCTAGATGTGCCACGTTGCTCGCCATCAAAGTCCCTAATAAAACATGATTGAGATCCAAAACGTACTGGCTAGTTGCATCTGACATGAAGGAGAGAGAGCTTCACTCTAGGCTGTAGATATGGTCCATGGTCTAATACCAACCCTTCACTTCTATGTGGTACTTATGGTACATATTTCATTTAATTAATCAACTTATAATTCACTCGATCAGATAAGGTCCTAAATGTAAGGATAAAAACCCTCTCTTGACCGATTCCAGTCGATGTAGCATCTATGATCCTAGATGTGCCACGTTGCTCGCCATCAAATTCCCTAATAAAACATGATTGAGATCCAAAACGTACTTGCTAGTTGCATCTGACATGAAGGAGAGAGAGCTTCACTCTTGGCTGCAGATATGGTCCATGGTCTAATACCAACCCTTCACTTCTATGTGGTACTTATGGTACATATTTCATTTAATTAATCAACTCATAATTCACTCGATCATATAAGGTCCTAAAGGTAAGGATAAAAACCCTCTCCTATCGTACAGTAACCAATTCCAATCGGTGCAGCATCTATGATCCTAGATGCGCCACGTTGCTCGCCATCAAAGTCCCTAATAAAACATGATTGAGATCCAAAACGTACTGGCTAGTTGCATCTAAACACGAAGGAGAGAGACCTTCACTCCATATAGATATGGTCCATGGTCTAATACCAATCCTTAACTTCTATGTGGTACTTATGGTACACATTTCATTTAATTAATTGACTCATAATTAACTCGATCAGATAAGGTCCTAGAGGTAAGGATAAAAACCCTCTTTTGTCGTACAATAACCGATTCTAATCAGTGCAGCATCTATGATCCTAGATGTGCCAACCCGGAACGTGAGTATTACCGTGTGGCTCAGGTCCCCTTGCAGAGGAGTGAAGCCCCTCTTGGGAAGGTGCAAGGGTTTGGCAGGTTACTATAAGAAATATGAGTTGTATGTTTTGTTTGTTTTGACGTTAAATATTTTTTTAATAAAATATATATTCTTTTAAGTAAAATATATATATTTTTTATTTTTACTTTGTAGGTGTTTGGCAAAGATTTACGTCGAGATTGAGGTCGAGACCTTTAGGGTAAAATAACTTGTCAAAAATGTATGGATAAATTATTTTTGTTAATTTTTAATATATATTTTTTCTTCGTAAATATTTTACGTCCAAACAAATGGAGCGACAATATTTTTGCATCGAAGGGTAAAATTGTTGTTGAAGGGGGGTTTCGCAACGGTGGATTTTTCCCATCGCAAAAAGGTGGATTAAGCTGTCATACAAAGCCCGAAAGCAAGGCATGCAACGTCAAAGAGTTCACGCCAATGCATTTGGGCAACAACATTTTAGACCTTTCGTGACAACTGTTTTGGTCGTCTATTGTCTTTCTACTCTAGTTTGTTGGAAATAAAATAGGAATACTAAGAAGATAAAGGGCTTCTTGGTTTAGTGTTTTGAAAACAATTTTCTGCTTTTAAAAACATGAATGCTAAAATTATAAGAAAATTCGTTTGGTTGATAATTTTCTTTCTGAAAATTTAATTAAAAAGTTTGTTACTAGAGAATATGTTTTTATAGTTCTATGAATATAATTTTCTGCTTTTTGAGAAATGTTTTAGTAAAACTAAACCAAACAGTCCCAAAGCCTCTAACAGGAGAGTAGCAAATCAGAAATGATTGCTTTAAGCATCTAATGCAATTTAAACTCTATTTAAAGTAAATTTCTCTTTTATCGCCATGCCATTTTCTACCAAAGAGACTAGAAAATACTATAAACTCACCGAAAGAAAACTTAGAAAATATAAGCTTAGAAATAAAATTATACTGAATAATAAATCAATAATTGAATTTTTTTTTTTTTTTTTTTTTTTTCTCCCGCTCTTTCATAACGCTTTGCCTAACCAAACAAAACCATGAACATGTGCAAGATTTCTCAAGAATTTCCATGTTTTAAGTAAACATACACAGCGAGTAAATTTGAGATATAAATACATACACATGCCGGACACATGCAATTCGCAGAAAAATTCTGATGGAGTGATCCCAAGGAGATTCGAATTAAACATCCACCTAAGGCCTGCATAAATAGGCCCACAAACACTCAGCTAATGGATGGTACATAAACCCTAGGCCAACCATAATTCTGGGTAGGCTCGACATGAGAATGCAACAATTTTCACTTGTCAGTACACAAAGAAGATAAGAGAGCATTCCAGAAGCCCAAAGTGCCTAACAAAGGCATTCTTTACAACAGTGGGGTCTCCTTCCAAACTTGAAAACAGCATGCTCACTCACAGTGTGTTCCACCAGTCCAGACAATAATAGTTTCTTGGAGCTCCTGCACCACCCGTTACATATGAGCATATTCAATTAAAGTTACTTTAATTAGGGGAAAAAAAAAAAAAAAAATTTAAAGTCACTTTATCTTGCTACTTCATGGGGATATAAAGTAAGGTGGGGTGTTGATTAGTTGCTCAAAGGTTCAACCTCAGACTTCAGGATTCATGTTTGATTCTATATAATAGGATTGAGAAATCCTCTAGGCTCTTCAGATAGAGGAAACTATAAAGACTTGATATGAGTACGTGATATGAACACAATATGATACGGATATGTGATATGAACATGACAAAATATGAATGGCGATTGACGAATTTTTAAAATGCAAAATATGAATATAGCAATGACATGGCAATGTATATATTACATTAATGTAGATATGGAAATTAAAATTTATGTTTGTCACGTTATTACTAATGTTTCCCTATAAAATTATGACAAGAAGCCGAAAGCACTATCGTGACTTCAAAGCTACCTTTGAATATGGTCATTTTCAACTAAAAACTCTCATTTTTATTCAAAGTTTCTAACTATATACATTAAAACACTCTCGTGACTTCAAAGGTGGACTAAATTAGCCATGATATACTACTTTTCTTTACAATAATAATAAATAAATAAATAAAAATCTGCATTTTTTTCTAACAATTATACGATTGCATTATACTTTTAAAAGTTCGATATTACCGTTCAAGACTTGTAAACATGTTTCACTAACTAACTGAAAAGTATTAGATACGTGACTAGATAAATACTAAGAACTATAAAAAATATGTTTAAAATAAAAATAAAAAATCAGTTACAAATTTTAAATACGGTTAAGAAATATCAGACACATCCATGAGTATCCGAGGGGCTAGGAATTTTGGTATCTGAACACAGACACGATACAAACAAAGTCAAATGATTTAGGACCATATACATTAAAAACTACTTTGCAATAAGATGAGCTAGATGATTAAAGTTAGGTATGATATGAAAATTTCACATGTAGTCTTCCCTCTTTAGAATCCTGTTGAATTCACAAGTAACTGCTAAAGTCTGGAGGAATTATACTCGATACAGGAGAAAAATCTTCAGATAATCTCAAAGGAATCCTTAAAAGTAAATTCAATCATCCTTAAAAGCCATGTTAGAGAGTATATTCTGACAGATTGGAGAATAAATCTACAACTGTACATGAAAAGATGAAAAGAAGTCACTGTAAAATGCCTTTTTATTGACTGAGAAAGCATGCCTATCAGTCTATCACTGTACCACACAAAGGCAGGTAATTCTACTTATGTATGAGCAGCAAGAATATGGATTATTCAGAATTGATGCCATTCACTTCCCAATAACATAAGCAACTAGTTTTCAATTCAGTATATATACCTGTTTATCAATAATAGGGTATAATATCATTATTCCATGCCACCACACCATGACGCAGACAACTAATTATCTCTAATCAGACAAAACTACAAACTTGTAATGTTTCTATTTTTTCTTGCTAGTAGCCAAATATGGCACTTTAGTTAAAATTCATATTAAACTCATAATCACCTAGTTTGGAGATGTCTTAGAACATGCACCCACAAAAAAAGGAATTACACATGGCCCACAAGGGACTCTGACAAGACCAAGCAACACTGCTTGATGAATAGGCAATTTAGTCCAACAATTCTAGTAGCAGAAACAAGCATTTTATGTGGTTGGAAGCTTTACAAGGACATGTTAATGACAGTGTCTTTGGTACTACTCTGGTAAGTGATTGGAGGTGTGGGTGTGAATGAGGATGTGGGGCATGTCTAGAAAGCTGGAATCTAACTTGCCTTCAGACTCAATACCAATCCAGTATCAGTACATTTAATCATCTAGTCCACTTGCACATGAAATTTCATTTCATCTTGTGATTTCTATCAACTTATGATTCACAAATCAGAAACATTATCATATCACACTTGTCTGATCAGGCAATCAAGGAACACCACATATGATCCCCATCTTGCAAGGCATTCCATCCTTCAGGAAATCACCTTCTTTCACCTCATCACCTGTATACACAAAATATACGGGTATCTCCCATGTACTTCTTTCTTTTTATTTATTTATTTTTTCAAAAAACTGCAAAAGTACATGAATGTTTATTGCCCCGGTGTTTGCCAAACTTACGCGAGGTGCTAGGAGGATAAGAATAGAGATGGATATAACCTTCTATATAATTTTGCACAAATTTGGCTGCCCTAAGATTGAAACTCACATCCCCATGCTAGTCAGTTTAAGTTGGTAAAGGTTCATACTTAACCGCCACCTTATCCATGTATTTAAACCATAAAAGGAAAATAAGAAAAAAATTATTATCTTTTCTTAGTTTAATTTTTCTCAAAATGTTAAATCTTTCTCATAAAAAACAAAGAGTAGTGATTTAGGGAGCGAATTCGGTAGTTGACGAATTCAATTTATGTGAGAGGGTGGTGGGTCCTATCACACGACACCATGGTGACATCACATGATGGGATCCACCACTTCACTCACATAAATTGAATTCGGTAATTGCCGAATTCGGTTCTTAAATCAATATTCATAAACAAAAGTTCCAAGATAAGAACTCGGTTCTCAAAATCATTATTCATAAACAAAAGTTCCAAGCGCATGCATGCACAGACAAATGCACAAATGGTTTAAGACTGTAAACCAACATTGGTGAGGTAAAAGGTTCTGTGAGAATGTATAGTCATTTTCAATGGCTCTAGACTTTTCCATTCAGGTTGGAACCTACTATCTTCTTGCCATATAAATATGACTCTTTTGCTCTGTCTTTGTTTCAAAAAAAAAACATTGATCAAGTCTCTTATACCCAGAAATCTCGTACAATTGGGAAAGGAGATGGTGGTTTTCGTGTTCTTAACTTTTATTTTCATCAACTTCTTTTGTGCCTTGGTTTTCTCCCTCACAGCTTTTCTAAATTCTTTTTTGATTATCTTGTAGGATGAAGCACCCCAGCTAAACGAATGGGAAGGTTACGTAGATTGGCGAAACAGACCAGCCTTGAAAGGCCGTCACAGCGGCATTCTTGCTGCCTCCTTTGTCTTGGGTTAGTAAAGCTTCTACCAACAGCACATTGTTCACATTCTTACTAGTATGGAACCACTTATAGAAGGAACTTAAAAAAAAAAAATCAGTTTCAACCTTATCATTTCATAAACTAGCAAATAAACGATAGAACAAAAACTTATGCGATCTCTTTTTATTGTGAACCTTCAGTTGTGGAGGTATTGGAGAACCTAGCATACCTGGCCAATGCAAGCAACCTTGTGCTTTATATGTCCAAGTACATGCATTTTTCCCCCTCGAGTTCTGCCAACATTGTTACCAATTTCATGGGGACGGCCTTCCTCCTCGCTCTCGTTGGTGGCTTCTTATCTGATGCTTACTTCACCACCTATTGCATCTATTTGATAAGTGCTACAATAGAATTTATGGTAAGAATAACATAAGCTTAAGCTTCTTAATCCATTTTTTATTTAATTAACAAAATTAGATAGGTTTGCTATTTATGGTTGAATCTTCATGGCTTTAATCAGTTGTGTGCATGCTACTGCATATGATATCCCCAATATCAAAACAGATACTTGGAAATAGAAAAACCATTTTTCAAATGGCAAGATGGGCATCAGTGACAAGAATTACAAGTTGGACAAAAGAGCATCTTGATATTTTAAAGTGGCAATTAGTGCCAAGTGCCGCAAGTTGGAAAAGCGAGAACCTACTAGGCTTTGTGGATCCCGTTTTGGCACACTTGTTAGGTAGGGCATATTCTAGAGGTGAATATGACTTATAACTCATGTACCTGTAGGGTTTTCTTCTAGAACCTACTTAAAAATAAATAAATAAATAAAAGGAAATGCCTTAACTTGAGGGGAGTCCAGGAACCAAACCACATCCACCATTAATGATATTTGAGAAAGAAACAGAAATAATAAATGAGTGTTAATGTGCCTCGTACTAGTTCTGTCAAATCAAATTTCGTGGGTGATCTAGCTAGGTCTTATGTGACAGTTGATAGGTAAAAAGAAATATAGCTCCTGATCATGTAATATAGTATGCAACAGTGACATGTTATGTTGTACCACCAAAGTGATGCTTCAATTAAAAAGAACAAGCACTATTTATTGAATAAAAATCCAAAGCAACCCGAGGGTGAAATTATGTACCAAATTCAATTTTTAAAATTTGGACTTCAGCATTTGATAGAATAAACCTACACATTATATCTAACACTATCAGGTTATTTTGGTTGTTTAACCTTGGATGAAGTGACAAAAATACTCTGGAAGGAGCGTGTTGCACTTCTCTAGAGTCAACAAGTTAGATTATAGAAAATTTGCCTTCAAAATAATGATCATCCCAGCTACTACGTAATATCTTGTTTACTTAGATCAACTGATTTGAACTATTGGAACAGGGTCTGTTAATACTCACAGTGCAAGCTCGTGTATCAGCACTGAAACCACCAATCTGCACGTCACCCGACAGAAACACTTCATGCCGAGAAGTTGATGGAGGGAAAGCAGCTGTATTGTTTACAGGCCTCTATCTGGTGGCACTAGGTGTTGGTGGGATAAAAGGCTCCCTTCCTCCACATGGGGCAGAGCAGTTTGATGAGAACACGCCGAAGGGAAGAAAACAGCGGTCAACATTCTTCAATTACTATGTGTTCTGCCTCTCCTGTGGGGCACTAATTGCTGTAACTTTTGTGGTGTGGATAGAAGACAACAAAGGCTGGCAGTGGGGTTTTGGTATCTCTACTGCTTCAATATTGATCTCCATCCCAATTTTTCTTCTTGGTTCTGCTACTTCTAGGGCAAAAATTCCCACAGGAAGTCCCTTTACAACCATATTCAAGGTAAAATCAGATAAGTAGCTTTACAAACTGCATATCCTGCTTGACTGAAAATACCTTTTTCATTGTTCTTGTTTACAACAGGTTTTGGCTGCAGCAACTTACAACACTTGTGTTTCTCGGAATTCCAGCAATGCCGCTACGAGCATGAACATAGGCCCATCGAATAAAACTGAAACCACTGAGGAAGAACGTCAGGCTAAAGAAACGGCACAGTTTCAAACTGCAACAGAAAATCTGAAGTTTCTTGATAGAGCAGTTATCAAAAATCCTGCCCACCCTGCATTGGAATGCACTGTGAAACAAGTCGAAGAAGTGAAGATAGTACTTAAGATCCTTCCTGTCTTCATATCTACCATTATGCTCAACTGCTGCCTTGCACAGCTCTCCACCTTTTCTGTCCATCAAGCAGCCACCATGAACACCAAGATTGGCTCCTTAACAGTTCCACCAGCCACTCTGCCTGTATTTCCTGTCCTCTTCATCATGATCCTTGCACCAGTCTACAACCATATTGTCATCCCATTTGCCAGAAAGGTAACCAAAACCGAAATGGGTATTACTCATTTACAAAGAATTGGGACTGGGCTAGTTCTTTCCATTGTGGCAATGGCTGTTGCAGCTCTTGTGGAGGTGAAGCGAAAGAGGGTGGCAGCCCAATCCGGTCTCTTGACTTCTACCAATACTCTGCCCATCACATTCCTTTGGGTGGCCCTGCAATACTTGTTCCTTGGTTCAGCTGACCTTTTTAGCTTGGCTGGCATGATGGAGTTTTTCTTCACAGAAGCCCCAATTAGCATGAGATCTTTGGCCACAGCTCTATCATGGGCTTCGTTGGCAATGGGGTACTACCTCAGCTCAGTGCTCGTATCAATAGTCAACAGAGTCACTAAAACCTTTAGTCACACACCATGGCTCTTTGGTAGCAACATAAATCATTATCACCTTGAGAGGTTTTACTGGTTGATGTGCATATTAAGCGGTTTGAATTTTTTGCATTATCTCCTCTGGGCCAACCGCTACAAGTACAGACCAACATGGCCTGAAGATCAGAAGGAAATACAGACAGTGAATAAGTCCTCAGATGTCTAAGAATCAGTACCATCGATTTACTTGAGGGCTGAGACCTTCCTATCCGCCAATTATGGAGAGAGAGTCCTGGTTGTCAGTCATCTACTTAAATCTTGCATACTATGTTTCTCTTATTAATATGTTGGCCATTTTCTTCCTCAATCCTTCTTGTTCTAATATGATTATGGATTATTTATATGAAATTAGGAAATGTAATACTACTACGAATGTTTATAATCTTGTCTAGTTTAGTAGTACAACCTCTGTTTTTTTTTTTTTTCCCCTTCCAGTAACTATATATATGTGTATATATATATATATATATATATATATATATATATATTCGAAAGTTCAAGGCAATGCAAACACACCCAGTTACACTATATTTCTAGAACAAAGAATGTCATATTTTATATATATCATTAACTTAACATGTTTGGATTTTTACAAAGAAGGGGATTCATATTCATAAAAATAAAAAATATCATTTAACTTAAGATGTTTGGGTGTTGCCAAAGAAGTGTATCACGCCGATATTAATGTCTAACACGTACTCAAAAAGCACATATTAAAAAAGGGCAACGCTCCATATTAGGTTTTCAAGCCACTCATTATCAAAATCTTCAACACAAAGAAAATGTTAATGTCACTTATCCACTTGGACAAATAAGTATTAACAAGTATATACAATCAAAAGAAAAGAACATAGATGTTAATCCAAAACCAATATTTAGATACCCTTTACATTGAATTTTAGTGGGACCACAAATCAACAACCATTGAAGCTGATGTGCAAGTACAGAAAACAACTTAAGCAAGCCCATGAATCATCACAATCACAGAACAATTAACGCTATCAAAATTATTCGAGAAATCTGTAGCGAAATTAGTATAACAACACGAACACATAAGCATCATTATCAAGCATCAACAGAAACACCAAAGCATAATGAGAATGAATGTAGTATAAATAACAAAATTATTGGTAACACTACAAAAATAATTCTACCTTTAAAGGCACTTAACATAGTTTCGAGTGTTAATTGAATCAGCATTTTCCAATTAACACATACAGAAGATAATGAATCAAATTTACAATGGGCAGAAAAAAATCTGGAGCAAGTAATACAAAACGAACAGAACGGAACATTGGGTTAAAAACAATTATATACACATACACACACACACACATATATATATATAGTGTGTGTGTGTGTGTGTGAGTGTGTATATAGATAGATTGAGATGGCGGAAGACCTCTGTGGTGTCATTCGTCGTTGATCGTAATCTGAAGACAACTCCAACTATTGCTCAGCAAATTGGAAATGATAGTGAAAAGGGAAATACTTTGCATAAATGCGACGAAGAATTTCAAGAGTGAAAAAGAGTCCAGAAAGTTACTACTATTATAAGAAATTTTTGCTTTGCTCTTCCAAAAGGGGATGTAGCTCAGATGGTAGAGCGCTCGCTTAGCATGCGAGAGGTACGGGGATCGATACCCCGCTTCTCCATTTTTCCTCATTTTTATGACATCTTGTCTTTCAATTAGAAGCAGCCATGTAGAACAATAAGTTGAAAATCCTCACTTTTTTTTTTTTTATAAGTTAACCCCCCATCTTGATTGTACGTCGTTTTGATAGTTAATCTATAAGATTACATTTTACATCATTCATATTATACATTAAAATTTAGGGTCATTGCTCATTTTACTTCAATAATACGAAGAACAATACTTTGTGAAATATCAAATGCTATCAAAAGTTATAGCACACTGGTATCTTCTTTACTTTTTCATTGTGGAAGGTATATATATATATATCAAATGTTAAGTCTGCCTTAAGTTATATATATTTTTTTTCAGCCCCTGAAAAGTAAACTCAGTGGAGTAATGCTATCAAGAGAGGCCGAAGGATCCTCTGCTGTAGGTATCTTTGTAGTTGCCTCTGCAGTTATAAAAAGGGTGACATTTGACTACTTTTTTTTTTTTTTTTTTTTTTTTTTTTTTTTTTTTTTTTTAATGCTTTGTTTGGTAGGAAGGAAGGGAGAAGTGTAGAAAGAAAATAGAAAGGAATGAGCAAGTATTCTTTGTTCAGTAGAGATGATACAAGAAAAGAAAGGATAATAGGAGGAGTGTGTCATTATTTTTTCTTTACAAATTTCCATCAGTCTAAAAATGGCGGAATAGATGGATGAAGAAAAGTGTATTATTATAGAAGTTTAAAATTAAATACTATTTTAAATTACACAAGTTTTAAATTACAGTAATATTCTCAGTAAATTACAATATTATAGATATTACTGGGCATAATGGTAGAAATAATTTAAAATTTTATCTTTCATTTTCTTCTCCCTTCCATCCAATTTTTTTTCTGTCCTACCCTAAGAAAGCATATATACGGATACTGGATCCGAATACGACACAAAACGGATACGGCAACACGGTAAATCTTAAAAAATTAGGACACGAACACAATGGGAACACGACAACTAAGAAATATAATTTTTTTTATATATATATGATGTTGTACTTTAAGAAATTACGAAAAATAATATAAATAAAAATCTCATAATGATAATAAAAATGTGCTTTGCTGAAAAAAAAAAAAAAAAAATTGATAGAAAGAGGGAGGAAGAAAAGTGGACTATTATAAAAGTTTTAAATTAAATACTATTTTAAATTACACAAGTTTTAAATTACAGTACTATCCTCAGTAAATTACAATATTATAGATTTTACTGGACATAATAGTAAAAATAATTTAAACTTTTATTTTTCATTTTCTTCTCTTCCTTCCATCCAATTTCTTTCTGTCATACCCTAAGAAGCAGGGGAACAAATACGGAACCCAGATACGACACAACTCGGATATGACGATACGACAAATCTTAAAAGATTAGGACACGAACACGGCGGGGACATGATAAACAAGAAATATATTTTTAATATATATGAAGTTGTATTTTAAGAAATTAAGAGTAATAATATTTTTTACAATCTCATAATGAAAATAAAATTGTGTTTTGCTGGAAAAAAGAAAGAATGATAAAAATATGGAGGAAGAAAAGTGGACTATTATAAAAATTTTAAATTAAATACTATTTTAAATTACACAAGTTTTAAATTATAGTACTATTCTCAGTGAATTACAATATTATAGATATTAGGAATTTAGAACATAATGGTAAAATAATTTAAAATTTTGTCTTTCATTTTCTTTTCTCCCTTCCATCCAAACGGAAAATCTTTAAAAATTAAGACACGGACACGGTGGACATGACAAATAAGAATTATATTTTCTATATATATATGATGTTGTACTTTAAGAAATTAAGAGTAATAATATTTTTTACAATCCCATAATGAAAATAAAAATGTGTTTTGCTAGAAAAGAGAAAGAATGATAGAAAGAGGGTTAAGAAAGAGAGGGGGAGAAAAAAAAAAAGAAAAAAAGAAAAAGAAACTAAGGGACAAAGAGGATCAGGGTTTTGTTAGAAAAATAATTAGGCCTTGGTTAAAAATAAAGGTAAGAATTCCATAGAAGATAAAAAAAAAAAAAAAAAAAAAAAAAAAAAAAAAAAAAAAAGAAAAAAAGAAAAAGAAAAAGAAAAAAGGTTCATGGGAATAGAGGAAATAGGAAAAAGTGAAAAAAGGTAATTTATTGTGATAAAAAAAAAAAAAGAAGAAGAAGAAGAAAGAAAGAAAGAAAAAGAGAGTATTTAGGGTTTGTGAAGAACAAGAAGAAGAAAGAAAAGAGGAGGACGAAAAATAAGAGATCAACGAGGAGCGATAGAGAGAGACTATTCATCGGTAGCAAAGCTTGGTCTGTGGGACAACAAAGAGTTAAAAGATGATCGTGGAAGGGTTCGAACTAAAAAATAAGAATAAATATCTAATTGTTTGAATATAAAATTATTTTATGAAACAAGAAGTTTTTAATTAAGTATGTAATTAAACAACTCATATATTTACACTTAAACTCAACATTGTTTCTAAAACTTTTTGAAAAATTCTCAAAGAGTAGGACACTCGTTTCGAACACGAATCCATGGCTTGCCAAAAACGTGTCCACGGTGTGTGTGTCCGGATATTCAAAAAAATATAAAATATTCGGACACGTTTTTTGGTGTGTTGAACACGTGTCGAGGCGTGTCTAGCGCGATTCGAACACTATTTTAGCATATTGAACAAGTGTCGGGGTGTGTCCAGCGCGATTTGGACACGTATTTTGGAGTGTTGAACAAGTGTTAGGGCGTGTCCAGTGTGATTCAGACACATATTTTGGCGTGTCTGACACATGCCGAGGTGTGTCCAACGCGTGTCAGTGTCTGATATGAATTCTTTACCCTTTTAGACGTGTTCGTGCTTCCTAAGTATTTCAAATAAGTGTCAAATCTTGCTTCAATCTATCAAATTAGGTAAAGCTAAAATTACCTAATCCATTAACTCCTCAAAAGTAGAAAAATATAATAAATAATGATATTCCTTTAATAACTCTAAGAGAGAATAGAGCAATTTGAAAATGCAACACACTGATATAGAAGAAATATGCAAGAAAGATATAGTAAAAGAGTGAGACAAAGAGAACTTTCATTCACTTCTGGTGTATATTATGCAATACACTACACTCCTTTATATAGGGAGTTTTCACCACCTAATATACTGTACTTTGCTCATCACACTTTCTTATACAAGGTACGTAAACCACTTCAATACATAATCTACTAAAGCACACCATCATCTGCCATTGCACTTATACATGGGGTAAATGGTGAAATGGACCCCATTATATTACAATACTCCCCCTTAGGGTCCACTACACTACACTACACTACACTAAGAATATGCCCCGTTAAAACCTTATTAGGAAAAACCCAGTAGGATAAAAACCCAGCAAAGGAAATATTCTTGTGTCACTAAAAATGGTATTGCATAGTTTAAAACTGTCTCATTAAAAACTTGCCAGTGGGAAAAAACCTTGGCGAAGGAAAAATAGTACAACATGTCAATACATTTTCAGTTAATTGCTCCCCCTCAAAAGTAGCTGCATTAATTTAGCATGAAAGATTCTCTAGTTGACGCATTCCAATGTTGTACACTAACTTCTTAAATGTTGCAGTCAGCAATGCTTTAGTGAACAGATCTGCCAAATTATCACTCAAACGTATCTATTGTATATCAATGTCATGGTTCTTCTAGAGCTCATGTGCGTAGAATAACTTTGGTGAAATATGCTTGATTC